CGTCACGTCGGCGCGGCTGTCCAGACGCGGGTTACAGGGAGCTGTCTCGCTCAGGGAAGAGTGCCCAGGACCTGCCAGGCTGTAAAAAGGCTGTTTTTTTAAAGAAACAGAAGCAATGGATGTGCATGCGTTTTGCAATGGCTGGTGCGGACCGCAGGACTGAAAATTACATTTGTCAGACGCAGTCACAGCCCCAGCCTCCAGGACTCGGGGGGGGGGGGGCTGAGAGGAAGACCTGCGCAGGTGAGCACAGAGACTGAACGAAGAGAGCAGGAGGGAGGGGAGAAGACCATGTGTCACAGCCAGACAGCTGATCAGTCTGGCGTCAAATCAAACCCCACTGTGGCAACACAGTCACTCCTGGAAACAGCTGGGAAAAGAGCTGGAGATTGTGCCCTTTTACTGGTGGCATTTTTAATATATTCAGGCACAATCCTAGCTGTGTGGAGAGTAAGATACGATCACTTTATTGGCCATATACAATAAGTATATGAAGTGGGGCGTCCTGCAGAGGGCAGCTGTCCCCCCCCTGTCTGGGAGCCCTGATTAAACCGGCCTGTGTTGACGGGCTGTTCCTGGGGGGGTGGAGGCTTCTCTCCGGAGCGGATCATTAGTGTCGGGATGAGACTCGCCCCCTTCCTGCCTCCCGCTTGACAGATTCACAGTCTCTGCTCCCTTTGGGGCGCTAAGTCGTCCTCTATGGAAGAACAATTAACTCCTGTTCCATCTGTGCTTAACAGACAGGTCGACACTCAGTGACGCCTTAGTGGCAACAACTGGTGACAAACGGTTGATTGGACTCAGTCGGCTAAATTGTTAAGTTGTTAATTAAAGGTCAATGCAGTAAATAAAGTAGTGAGTGAATCGTGAGAGCGTGTGGGAGCAGCGAGGCAGGGCTGTTCACTGCTGGTCCCCCAGGGAGTCTGGGACGAGCTCGTGTTTGCAGATCTAGGAGAGCCCTGAACGAGCTGATTGATGTTGGAGTGGAAGCCTGCAGACCCCTGCGAGTA